GTTCACATTGGCTCTTGAAGATTGCACAAGAACACAGAGATACTCGAACGACCGAATCAGAGAGTTCATTGAATAATACTTCTGGTCATAATGTCGCAACGGATGATGAAACGATTAAGTTGCTACATGTGTATTACATTTATCGTGTAAGCGATGTATTGGATTTCTGGTGTGGCGAGTTCACTGATTGAATCAGAATTGGACGACTTGCTACTTATTCCTCTTAAAGGGGTTCTCTATTGAATTGGTATCTCAAGCGAAATTCTGATGTGTTAAATTCCTTATGTTTTTAAGTATATGAGAATCCCAGGCCCAGAGAAAGTCCGGCAACCAAACAAAAATATAACTTCCTATACATGAACGTTTCGCCGGGGACGTCCTTCAACTTTTCGTTTTCATCCTGTTGTTTTTTGCCCGATGTCTCAAGCGAAACCTGGATTTCTACAAATATTGTTTCAAAAACCAAGGTTTCGCCGGAGACATCGGGCAAACAGTGATGATGGAAGGCTACTTTTTGGAGGATGCCTCAAGCGAAATCTGGATTTGTTTAATTCCTTATGTACTGAATTATCTGAGACTCCCAGGCCCAGAGAAATTCTGGCCAACAAAAAAACAAATGGCTGCCCGTTATCTCATGCGAAACCTTGATTGTTGAAGCAATATTTGTAGAAATCCAGGCTTCGCCTGGGACATCGGGCAAAAAGGCACAGGGTAAAAGCAACAGTTTGGAGGATGTCCCAGGCGGAACCGAATTTTTTCAAATTATCTGGATATTTCTTTGTTGTGGCTGGACTTTCTCTGGGCCTGGGATTCTCAGATAATTGAAAACAGAAGGAAATACATACATCCAGGTTTCGCTTGAGACATCCTCCAAAAAGCAGCCTTTCATCATCACTTGTTGCCCGATGTCTCAGGCGAAACCTTGCATGGTGATGCAACGTTTATAGAAATCCAGGTTTCGCCTGGGGCATCGGGCAAAAAGCAATGGGATAAAAGCAAAGTCTGGAGGATGTCCCAAACGAAACTTTTGATGTTTGGAAAATCCCTCGGTTATCTTTTTTTTGTTGGGGGGGGGGGGGGGCGGACTTTCTCCGAGCCTGGGGTGTCAAGAAAACCCCGAACCAAAGGAAATTGTAAAACCAAGGTTTCGCTTGACACATCGCCGAGCAATCAACCTTCCATCTGCAATTGTGGCCCGATGCCCCCAACAATAAGATCATCAATAACGAAATTCGGTTGAGACATGATCAAAATATCAAACTCTCCCCATTCCTTTATGATCGATGTCTCAAGGGAAACCTTGAGTTTCGAACGAATATGTATAACACATAAAGGTTTGGCCTGAGACATGGGGCAACACAACTACGGGGGAAAAACAAAAGTTTGAAGAATGTCCCAAGCGAAATCTCGATGTTTAGAATATCATCAAGATTGTGTTTTTTGTTAGCGGACTTTCTCTGGGCTGGGGACTGTCTGGAAAACCGAAACACCAAGGTTTTGCTTGAGACATCGTTGAGAAAGTAATTGTCCACCTTGTTTGCCCGATGTCTCAAGCGAACCCTAGATTTGCATGCCGGATGTTTCAAACATCAGGCTCTCACTTGAGACATCGTTAGAAAATGAATGTACCATCGTTCCTTTTTGCTCAATATAACGATTCTTCAAGAAACGAAGATCAACTAAACGCTTTTAGTCTGAGACATCGGGCAACAAACAATAAGGGGAAAGGGAAAAGTTTGGATGTCCCACGCGAAACCTTGATGTTTCCCACATGGCTCTTCGGTTTATGTTTTTCTTCCCTGCCGCGTCGCGCCCGTTTCTCCCCCCCCCCCCTCCTCCTCTTCCTTTCTCCCCTCACCCACGAGCAACAGATGCGCGGCACGTGCGTGAGACACGCGTCTACATACAGCCGCACGCGTGCACGCACTCGCACACGCACACACACACATACACACACACACACACACACGCACGCACACGCACACACACATACACACGCAGACGCACACGCACACACGCACGCACGCATCCGCACACATTCACACGCACACGTGCACGCACGCACGCACGCACACACACAGGCACAACACACACACACACACACACGCAGGCGCACACGCACACGAACACGCACACACATACACACAAGCACGCACGCACAGCGCTCACACACACTCACTCACTCACACACACACACACCACGCACACAAACACACACACAAACACACGCACACACTAACAACGCCAATGCACGCCTGGCGTGTTCAGTGCATCAAACACCCGCGACATATGCGCTACCTACTGGGCACCCACATGAAACACACGTCCAGATACAGCCACACTCGCATCATACGCAAGACACATACGCGAACCTGCAACCAACACATACACATGACACGTAAACCACAGACGCACCTCTCACAACATGGTAATTACTCGGTGCCACAAGGGGGTGCGCTGGGGGTGCGGTCGCTATCCGCCGTACACTCGGAAAGGAAAGCGTGGCAGGCGTGTACTTTCTC